ACGTCTGGTCACCTTACCCAACAACAATCCGGGTCCTCATTTTACCCACCTCGGAAGGATGGAAGGCTGAGTCAACCCTGAGCCGGTGAGATTTGAACAGCCGAACTGCAGAACTGCAGTCAGCTGAAGTAGCCTGCAGTGCTGCATTTAACCACTGTGCCACATCTGCTCTTAGTTCAGTTCTTTAAAGAAATGAATTCAATTCAATTCTATTCTATTATTTTTATTATTATTATTTTTCTACAAACACATCATTATGTGAAGAGTGTGGAACCAGTTACATTTTAGTACAAATAATACAATACCCTTCCTATTCAACATAATTAATAATCTTATAGACTTTTAGTAGTAATACACATATTTTGTTGAATTATAATTTTTCCTTAATTATTCAATATTTCAATATATTGATTTTTTTGTCAATCTCCATATTCTTGATATCACTCTTTTTACTACAGATAAAATACCAATAATCATATTTGTTTTATTCTATTCTACTCTACTTTACTCTACTCTATTCTAGAGAATAGAGAATGTTGAATGTTCTGTTGTAAATTATTGGTACATGCATTAAAATGGCAATAAGGAGTTGATGAGCACATCAATAGCTCCATCTTTTTTGTGAAATTTTCTCCATTTCTCACAGATAAACTAGAGCTATTATGACATGAACCATGGCAATATAAATAGTAGTGGTGTAAGATATATTACATTCATTAAACCTTTTCCAATTCCAAGTTTAGCAAAATTAGCTAGAATTCTTTGAAGAACTTTCACTTGCATGGTTCTTTTTCTTTTGTTTTTCTTTTTGCAAAATTAAGGGTGGGAAATCCTTTTGGAAGGAAACTTTCATTACCATTCTTAATATCTCCAAACACAAAACATGATCCAATATTACTCTGAAATATGGCTATTTGGTACTGAAAATCAACAGTGTGATAATTGAAGTATTGATTTTCCCAATCCAATTTATATCTTTTCTGTCCCCAAATATCAAAGCACCCAAATTTAGCCCTGTCTCCTCCTCTAATGCCAAAATGATCTTTTATCATCTTCTAAGGTGAGGTGGGAGGTGAAGATAAGGTCATGATCTCTCAGTTACCATCTAATCCTGGAATAATATGTAGCAAGGGTGCTATTAATAGCTTGAGAAGTAACAGAGCATGATAACTCAATCTTGATTAGGTTGCAAATTTTAATATGTTATACAGTTGCAAGAAAAAGTATGTGAACCCTTGGGATTATGTGGAGTTTTGCATGAATTGGTCATAAAATGTG